CTCTGCTGTTCCCCCCTTACACTCAGGGCGGTGACGCGCTTCGTCCACTGCAGTTCGCTCAGCCGAGGCCTGCCACGAGTCTTCCTCTACTCTGTGAAGTCGAGCGAGAGGCTGATAGGGGCCGTCCATAAATGACGTCACGCACCTGGAGTGGTGGGGGTCAGACATTTGTGACGATGTGTGACGAGGGGGGGGGTTTAGAAATGTGACGTCACATCAAAATACGCAACTTTAAATAAATATAGACAACACGTTCTACTTAATTAAATAGACTTTTTAATAAATATTTTCTCCTACAACATCAGAGTGCAGTGCCTCATTAAATACGCACTACAATGACAATAATTTAAAGCGATTTGAAGCATGTTTTATTTTGGGGGGGGGAGGCAGAGCTTTGTGACGTCATATTTGAGGAGGGGGGTCTGACTTTTTGTGACGCCATGTGACAAAGGGGGGGGGGGTAAAAAATCGTCTAAAACCGCGTGACGTCATTTATGGACGGCCCCATACCTCCGTGTGCCCAACGACGGGGGTCTATCGTTGCCCCCCGCCCCCCCCCCATGCTGCCACTCTGTGAGGCCCCCCCCCAATCCCACACCACGTGCTCCCCTTGCCCCCCGTGGCGTCTCCCCCTCCGCGGAGTGAAGCGAGTGGAGGTCGCCCCGTTCACAGCGGACGGGGTCCCTGCAGAGTGGAATGGCAATCCATAATACAGATGTGTGTTTGGGTTATATCGCGTAAATATGTGTCGATAAACCCGCCACCACCCGACTCTCAGCCAATTAGTAAGGGTTGTCACGTACACTAGTACAGCACTCACCGGTGTGCTGGAGAGCCAAGCCACAACATTTACAATCCGAATACGACATTTTATTATTACATGCTTTTATTTAACTCACTCTGTCTGTTGTTGTCGTTGTTGTATCCTCAAATCTTGTAACTCAATTTTAACCCGCTTCCCAATGTGGTATCGACTGAAAACTTGGTATACTTATGTCATACTGAAGACAATACTATATTATATCATAAAAATAAAAAATATATATTTTAAAGCATTATTTTTTACATGTTATGTTTAGGCTTGGCTCTAATTGCCCACGCTCAACTGACGTTGGCTTAAATCACCACGGCACCTTACGTTGTGGCAAGCTTCGGGGCCACTTCCTGGAGTCGTGGAGTTCTGCCATTACTAGTACGGTACATTTAATTAAAGTATGTTTAAATCACGGACCTGGGGGTGGGGGGGGGGTCAGACATTTGTGACGATGTGTGACGAGGGGGGGGGGGGGGTTGAGAAACGTGACGTCACATCAAAATGCGCAACTTTAAATAAATATAGACAACGCGTTCTACTTAATTAAATAGGCTTTTTGTATACATCTTTTCTACTACAACATCAGAGTGCAGCGCAACTTTAAATACGCACTACAATGACAATAGTTTAAAGCGATTTGAAGCATGTTTTTTTTTTATGGTTGACATTGGTCGCGAAAGCCTACGTGCTCAACTGGAATGGCAATGATAATTGTTTTTTTTACACTTTTATCTGGCAACAAAACTGACACCTTTTTTTTAGGTGTCAGTTTTGTTGCCAGATAAAAGGGTAAAAAAAACAATTATCATATTTTTTTACTGGCAAATGAGGTACCAATGGTGGAATGGCAATGTTACGAACGACGATACGTGGGGGCCACCTAGCGATGATTGCGGCCTGTCGAGGTGCAGTTGTTTTTGTTGTGAGATGAAAGCAGGCGACGAACGACTCAGGAATGAGTCTCATTTCCTCGAGTGACAATGGCGCACGAGGCAGCTAACACGGGGGACAAATCTGGCTGCCGCCTGATGATGCCGGTTGTAATTACTGGCGAAACGTCGAACTCAGATTGTAAATGTCGTGGATTTGCTCTCCAACACACCGGTGTGGTGCTGTACTAGTGACGAATTGCCATGTTCTGTTTACGTGACAACTCCTTACTAGTTGGCTGTGTCGGGTGGTGGCGGGTTTCACGACACATTCATATATTTACGCGATCTAACCCAAAAAACCTGTATTAAGGGGGACGATGTTTAATCCGAATTGCGTAATTTGCGGTGCATTATATTTGTCCATAATATTTGTGGGTTACATCGCGTAAATAAAAAAGATGTGTCGTTAAACCCGCCACCACCCGACACAGCCAATTAGTATGGGCTTGGTCACGTAAACAAAACGTGCCAGTTAGTCACTAGCTCAGCACCCGATCGAACCCGGAAACCTTTATTGTGTAAAACATCGGTCGCGAAAGCCTACGCGTTAAAACTGGTTTTCATTTTCTTTGCGTCTTTCGGTAAAGTCACGTGGATAGGTTCAAAAAATAATAAAATAAACTACGACGTTTCGATCGCAACACAAGCGATCGAGGATTTGGACTGCGGCTCATGGGCCGAGTAAAATTGATCGTCACGACAAAAACGCACGGGATGATGAAGTGGCCTGCAGTTGTTTTATACACTCGATTGACACTAGTTGGTCATCGTCTAACAATGGTTGACTTACAATGAGGTGGTGGATCTTCTTAACAATGTTCGCCATGCAATGGATCTCTAGTGATCGACAGATATCGGTTGATCGACTGTGATTGATATCGATTAAGCATCCACAAATATAATTGTATTGGGAGGTAAATACCCTTGGCGTCCTCTGGGCTAACACTGTTTGAGACGAGGCTCTAAAGAAAGCTGTCTCTGGTGTGGACCAATCAGTTCCAAAGACAGTGCAAATATTATCAGAATCTGCCTCAGCAGATTTCTCCCTCTTTTTCACCTGAAGACGATTGCTTGTGTTGCGATCAAAACGTCGTGATTTTGATTTTATAATTTTGTTATCTACTTGGCTTTACCGAAAGAGCCAAAGAATATGAATTCCTGCAGTTTGGTGTTTTTAACATCTTAACAAGATCTTAACAGCTGTTTTGTTGCCAGAAAAAAGGGGAAAACCTATTCTCATATTTCGGTACTGGCAAGGAGGTCCCATGATGTAGATGCTCACCCCGAGCTCTCATTACTCTGATAGTGCGTTGTCTTTGTGCTGTTCGCCTTTTGGCGTCCTCTGGTCTAACACCGTTTTGAGACGAGGCTCAAAAGAAAGCTGTCTCTGGTGTGGACCAATCAGTTTCAAAGACAATGCATATGCAGTGGGTCAGAAATCAGAGGAGACACCAGTTGAGGCAACACGATATTTATTTAACGCTCTACTTCTTACAGGGTCCCTAACACAAAAGGGTAGCGGCCTCTTACACCTGATACCTGGGGAGGTATGGCCTCCGGGTCTTCGGGTCCTGACCACTGGCCTCACTCAGCTCCGGCCCTTAGAAGGACGGCAGAACTTGGGGTCCAGGGTCACTATCCTCATCGCAGGTCTTCGGTCTTCAGCTTGGAAGTGACTCCCCCGATCGTTCAGAGGTCCGACTTATATACAGGTTGCTCTTTCCTTCCAGAACCTTCCACCAGTCCCCCCTCCCGGGGTTTGGGGATTGTGTCCCAGGATCTGTTGGCCCTTTTGGCCATAGTCCTTTAACATTGGCGTATCCACTCTTCCGCCAACCTGTTGACCCAATAGTGATGCTACCCGCTGACAATATGGGGAGTGCGTAATGACACCTCTATACATTTACTATCAGAGTACTGTGTGTTTTTTGTTTGCATTCTGACCACAAGCATATATGGTGAATGCAGATATGATTCCTTGTAAAAGGTTTCAGTTCTGTGTTTTAAACATCTTCACACCTGTATTGTTGCCAGCAAAAAGGGGAAAACCTATTCTCGTAATTTGGGTAACTGGCAAAGGAGGTCCCATAATGTTTTTTTTTGCATTTTCACCACATGTGTATGTGGTTAATGCAGTCATGATTCCTTGCAAAGGTTACAGTTTGGCGTTTTAACATCCTAACACTTGTTTTGTTGCCAGAAAGGGGAACCCCCTATGATTCAGTGGCCTAAAATAGAATGTTTCGCTCCGGATGATCGCTGCAAAGTATGATCTGTGTTTTGATTTAGTGTGCTGATCTTAAAGGTGCATTGCAAAATGTTGATACTCTGACTGATGCACCTGCTGTTGTGGAGTGACTCATGCAGCCAGCTATGGCTACAGGGTTTTGGCAGTACATGTTGTTTATGTCGTTTATTGTGAAAATTCGGTCACAGTTCCTATGATCACTGTTACATTGATTTTATGGCTTTATTTTGGTGATTTTTGAAAAGTTTTTTGTTTTGGCCATGTTTGTTTGTTGTAGTACGGAGTTAGACTGATGGCCTTAGTCTAAGTTGTATTGTGGTTGTTGTTGTTGTTTGACTTGCATCCCACTGGGATTTTGCACACAGCGTTGGTGTACGGTGCTTTTTTTGCAATATTTTGCTGTCTTTTCTTGGATTTTCTGTTTGCACTTAGTCACATATTCACTTTAAGATGTTTTCTTGTTCATGTTTTTGTTTGTTGTTTGTTGCGGTTGCACCCGATTCAAGAGTCGAATGGCTCACAGGGCTATACCTAATAAATTAACTTGAATATTCTTAGGTTTTTTTTTTATAAAGTCACGTAGGTAAAAAAAATAAAAGTAAAATTAAACAAAAATAAAAATCACGATAGCTGTGCTGTGACAGTTCCACCTGAAGACGGAAGCTTGTGTTGCCTCCGAAACGTCGTGATTTTTATTTTACTTTTATTAATTTAAATGTTTTTACCTACGTGACTTTACCGAAAAAACCTAAGAATATGAATACTTGCAGTCACGAAAGCTTCAAATCTAGAATGAACCTGAACCTGATGAGCGAAATCCCCTGGTTCTAGAATCGCCCTCTGAACCCATGAAACTCCCCAACGAATCGATACCTTTGCATCGATTCCGCGCGTACGCATACAGCCCTCGCGATTCCCCAGCGGCGCGCGACCACCCGCCGCTCGGGAATCGATTAACCAAATCGATCTGACGATGACGTCACGGCTTGTGGGGGGCTTTCCCTCTGACGTCACCGCGTGTTTACATCTCGCGAGGCCGAGAGTTTGTGGCGGCTGCGGCGTTCAGCGCCCGTCTCGCTAATTAGAAGATAAACTCGCTACTTTGTTTGGTTTTCGCGACGTCTTTTCGTTTGGTTAGTGGGGGAAGTTTTGTTTTGCTCGTGAGAGGGGGGAGAGGGGGGACAGGACTGTGCTCAGACAGCGACTCGCGGCGTCTTCCCGCGGCCTGGAAGCAGGAAGTGCCGAGGCTGATTGTGGGCCCACAACCAAGGTGGGTGTCTGTGGGATATCCCATTAACACGATCCCATTAACACGATCCCATTAACACGATACTATTAACACGATACTATTAACCCGGTCCCGTTAACCCGGTCCCATTAACACGATCCTATCAACTCGGACCTGGTAACCCGGCCCTGTTAGCCGTGACCTATTAACCCGATCCTATTAACACGGCCCTGTTACACCAGTCCTATTACACCAGTCCTATTAACTGGGACCTTTTCACTCGGTCGCGTTCACCCGGTCCTGTTAACCGTGACCTAATAACCCGGTCCTATTAACTCGGTGCTGTTAACCCGGTCCTATTAACTCGCCCCTATTAACTAGCCCCTATTAACCCTGTCCTATTAACCCAGTCCTATTAACTCGATGCTGTTAACCCGGTCCTATTAACCCTATCCTATTAACTCGCCCCTATTAACATGGAACCTATTAATTCGCCCCAATTTCCCCAGTCCTATTAACTCGCCACAATTTCCCCAGCCCTATTAACTCGCCCCTATTAGCCCGGTCCTATTAACTCGCCCCTATTAACCCGAGTGCCCTGGTGGCCGAGGCGAGGCTTGCGAGCCGGAGGAACTGTTCTCTGCTCAGCCCGGCAAGGCCCCACGGGCCCGGCAAGGCCCCACGGGCCCGGCAAGGCCCCGCGGGCCCGGCAGCGTTAAGCGGCCAGCAATAATCAGCACGAGTGCCAACGTTGTGAACAGCTCAAGGCGCTGTAGGACACGCGCGCATTTTTTATTCCTTACCCGTACCCGTACCCGGCCGCACCAGGGTCGCAAACGAGTACCCGTACCCGGCCGGGTACGGGTAGCCGGGTATCTGGTAGGGTACGGGTATCGGGTACCCGGTTGCGACCTCTGGTTTGTGGTCGGAGGGAATTTACAAAGTGGAGTCGTGCGACGTTCACCCTGATGTGTTGGTGTCTGGGTGGGTGGTTGGGTGAGTGAGTGAGTGGTTGGGTGAGTGTCTGGGTGGGTGAGCTGGTGAGTGGTGGGGTGAGTGGTTGGGTGGGTGGGTGAGCTGGTGAGTGGTGGGGTGAGTGGTTGGGTGAGCTAGTGAGTGGTGGGGTGAGTGGTTGGGTGAGCTGGTGAGTGGTGGGGTGAGTGGTTGGGTGGGTGGGTGAGCTGGTGAGTGGTGGGGTGAGTGGTTGGGTGAGCTAGTGAGTGGTGGGGTGAGTGGTTGGGTGAGCTGGTGAGTGGTGGGGTGAGTGGTTGGGTGGGTGGGTGAGCTGGTGAGTGGTGGGGTGAGTGGTTGGGTGAGCTAGTGAGTGGTGGGGTGAGCTGGTGAGTGGTGGGGTGAGTGGTTAGGTGGGTGGGTGAGCTGGTGAGTGGTGGGGTGAGTGGTTGGGTGAGCTAGTGAGTGGTGGGGTGAGTGGTTGGGTGAGCTGGTGAGTGGTGGGGTGAGTGGTTGGGTGGGTGGGTGAGCTGGTGAGTGGTGGGGTGAGTGGTTGGGTGGGTGGGTGAGCTGGTGAGTGGTGGGGTGAGTGGTTGGGTGAGCTAGTGAGTGGTGGGGTGAGTGGTTGGGTGAGCTGGTGAGTGGTGGGGTGAGTGGTTGGGTGGGTGGGTGAGCTGGTGAGTGGTGGGGTGAGTGGTTGGGTGAGCTAGTGAGTGGTGGGGTGAGTGGTTGGGTGAGCTGGTGAGTGGTGGGGTGAGTGGTTGGGTGGGTGGGTGAGCTAGTGAGTGGTGGGGTGAGTGGTTGGGTGAGCTAGTGAGTGGTGGGGTGAGTGGTTGGGTGAGCTGGTGAGTGGTGGGGTGAGTGTCTGGGTGGGTGAGCTGGTGAGTGGTGGGGTGAATGGTGGGGTGAGTGAGTGAGTGAGTGGTTGGGTGAGTGTCTGGGTGGGTGGGTGAGCTGGTGAGTGGTGGAGTGAGTGAGTGGTTGGGTGAGTGTCTGGGTGGGTGAGCTGGTGAGTGGTGGGGTGAGTGTCTGGGTGGGTGAGCTGGTGAGTGGTGGGGTGAATGGTGGGGTGAGTGAGTGAGTGAGTGGTTGGGTGAGTGTCTGGGTGGGTGGGTGAGCTGGTGAGTGGTGGGGTGAGTGGTGGAGTGAGTGAGTGAGTGTTTGGGTGAGTGTCTGGGTGGGTGAGCTGGTGAGTGGTGGGGTGAGTGGTGGAGTGAGTGAGTGGTTGGGTGAGTGTCTGGGTGGGTGAGCTGGTGAGTGGTGGGGTGAGTGGTGGGGTGAGTGAGTGGTTGGGTGAGTGTCTGGGTGGGTGAGCTGGTGAGTGGTGGGGTGAATGGTGGGGTGAGTGAGTGAGTGGTTGGGTGAGTGTCTGGGTGGGTGGTTGGGTGAGCTGGTGAGTGGTGGGGTGAGTGGTGGGGTGAGTGAGTGAGTGGTTGGGTGAGTGTCTGGGTGGGTGGTTGGGTGAGCTGGTGAGTGGTGGGGTGAGTGGTTGGGTGAGTGAGTGAGTGAGTGGTTGGGTGAGTGTCTGGGTGGGTGGTTAGGTGAGCTGGTGAGTGGTGGGGTGAGTGGTTGGGTGAGTGAGTGAGTGTCTGGGTGGGTGGGTGAGCTGGTGAGTGGTGGGGTGAGTGGTTGGGTGAGTGAGTGAGTGGTTGGGTGAGTGTCTGGGTGGGTGGTTGGGTGAGCTGGTGAGTGGTGGGGTGAGTGGTTGGGTGAGTGAGTGAGTGTCTGGGTGGGTGGGTGGGTGAGCTGGTGAGTGGTGGGGTGAGTGGTTGGGTGAGTGAGTGAGTGGTTGGGTGAGTGTCTGGGTGGGTGGTTGGGTGAGCTGGTGAGTGGTGGGGTGAGTGGTTGGGTGAGTGAGTGAGTGTCTGGGTGGGTGGGTGAGCTGGTGAGTGGTGGGGTGAGTGGTTGGGTGAGTGAGTGAGTGGTTGGGTGAGTGTCTGGGTGAGCGAGCGAGTGGTTGGGTGAGCGAGTGAGTGGTTGGCAGAGCGAGTGAGTGGTTGGGTGAGCGAGTGAGTGGTTGGGTGAGCGAGCGAGTGAGTGTCTGGGTGAGCGAGTGAGTGGTTGGGTGAGCGGGTGAGTGGTTGGGTGAGCGAGGGAGTGGTTGGGTGAGCGAGGGAGTGTCTGGGTGAGTGGTGGGGTGAGAGAGTGAGTGGTTGGGTGAGCGGGTGAGTGGTTGGGTGAGCGGGTGAGTGGTTGGGTGAGCGGGTGAGTGGTTGGGTGAGCGGGTCAGTGGTTGGGTGGTTGGGTGAGTGTCTGGGTGAGCGAGTGAGTGGTTGGGTGAGTGTCTGGGTGAGCGAGTGAGTGGTTGGGTGAGTGTCTGGGTGAGTAGGTGAGTGAGTGTCTGGGTGAGTGAGTGAGTGGTTGGGTGAGCGGGTGAGTGGTTGGGTGAGCAGGTGAGTGGTTGGGTGAGCAGGTGAGTGGTTGGGTGAGCGGGTGAGTGGTTGGGTGAGCGAGGGAGTGGTTGGGTGAGCGAGTGAGTGGTTGGGTGAGTGTCTGGGTGAGCGAGTGAGTGGTTGGGTGAGTGTCTGGGTGAGTAGGTGAGTGAGTGTCTGGGTGAGTGAGTGAGTGGTTGGGTGAGCGGGTGAGTGGTTAGGTGAGCGGGTGAGTGGTTGGGTGAGCGAGGGAGTGGTTGGGTGAGTGGTGGGGTGAGAGAGTGAGTGGTTGGGTGAGCGGGTGAATGGTTGGGTGAGCGGGTGAGTGGTTGGGTGAGCGGGTGAGTGGTTGGGTGAGCGGGTGAGTGGTTGGGTGAGCGAGTGAGTGGTTGGGTGAGTGTCTGGGTGAGCGAGTGAGTGGTTGGGTGAGTGTCTGGGTGAGCGAGTGAGTGGTTGGGTGAGTGTCTGGGTGAGTAGGTGAGTGAGTGTCTGGGTGAGTGAGTGAGTGGTTGGGTGAGCGGGTGAGTGGTTGGGTGAGCAGGTGAGTGGTTGGGTGAGCAGGTGAGTGGTTGGGTGAGCGGGTGAGTGGTTGGGTGAGCGAGGGAGTGGTTGGGTGAGCGAGTGAGTGGTTGGGTGAGTGTCTGGGTGAGCGAGTGAGTGGTTGGGTGAGTGTCTGGGTGAGTAGGTGAGTGAGTGTCTGGGTGAGTGAGTGAGTGGTTGGGTGAGCGGGTGAGTGGTTAGGTGAGCGGGTGAGTGGTTGGGTGAGCGAGGGAGTGATTGGGTGACTGAGTGAGTGGTTGCGTGAGTGTCTGGGTGAGCAAGTGAGTGGTTGGGTGAGTGGGTGAGTGGTTGGGTGAGCGGGTGATTGTCTAGGTGAGCGGGTGATTTTCTGGGTGAGCGGGTGAGTGTTTTTGTGAGCGAGTGAGTGGGTCAGCGAGTGGGTGGGCGAGTGGTTGAGTGGGTGACTGAGCGAGTGTCTTGTGGAACGCTCAACGACGCTCACAACAACGAGCGGGGCGGCTAAATTGCGGCAAGTTGGCACAGTCGGTGCATCTACCGGTCATCTCAGTCAGCCAACGCATGGCACTGGCTGGGTCTGTCCGAGACCTCCTGTCAGCGAGCCTTCGACACTTCACGTGACCTCAATGTGCACCTAGCTTGCCACGGGCGCCGTGGTGCTGTCACTTAGGTGGTGAATGGCGGCTATTGGTCTTGTGGCCTGCAGTATAGTGGGTGGTGAAACACAGTAGGGGCGAGCCGAAGCGGTCTGTATGGTTGACCAGAGCTCCTGTATAATTCTATTGAACACCTTTCTCAATCCACTGCTGCCTGAAGTTCTCCCGCGCCATGTTGGCCGTGGGAATTTGACCATACTTCACCACGCTGGTCATTGCGGGTTGGTGAAAGGGGGATAGGGCCCAGTAGAGAATCCGTTTCAGATGTCGCCACTGAATGGATGTTAGCCGTGGCTTAGAATGAAATGCTCGGTCGCCAGGTTAATATCCCAGTGCTTCGATAAAACCGCCACCGCCGCTTATTGTAAAACTACGACGGTTACCTTTGTTTAGGCTGGAGGAATCTGATGAGATATGGAGCTACATTTTCCCACGAACAATACAACAGTTACATCATGGGACCTCCTTTGCCGGTACCAAAATATACTAATAGGGTTTTTCCCCTTTTTTCTGGCAACAAAACTGACACCTTTTGCAAGGAATC